TTCAGCGATTAAAAAGAAATAAAATAAATGCGTCGTGCGAGATTTGATTGGGTGGAAAATTAAACTAATGCTAATGAGCAATAAAATAAAAAGATTGGTTTCTCTCTAATTAATGACGAAGGGAATAGGGATTGATTCCGGCGTAACCAGATTTCTGGCAGATCAGGCTTAATTACATGAAATTAATTTAATTGAGCCTAGCTAATCATTACTAAGTTCTTACCGCTCTCGCGGCGTAGAGTACAATAATTTAGGGGACCAGGCTGATCTCTCATGCGACAAGATCCTAAATTATTGTCAAGACGAGCGAGCTTACGGCCCCTTAATCGCTACTAATCTCTTAGCGAACGATTAAGTGTGTGTGAAGGTGTCCTAGAATAAATTAGATCTCTCTTAACTTATTCTACAAGCAATTGTAATTCTAGCGCGCGTTCTAGTTTACAAGAGATATCAGTTAAATTATTCAAACACAAATTAAACGACATTCATGCAATTAAACCGACAAGAATCTAGCCATCAATCATGATTAACCCCTTCATCAACCCCAAATCCCTAATTAAACTACTCACAATTCATAATTGAAGATTCAACAGAATTGGGATGAATAGAAATAATTGTCATTAATTAAAAAGATGAACTTACAAATAATCCCAGGGTCTTGGAAGAAAATAGCGTAAAAACAGTGTTAAATTTGTCCCTAGGCCTCTCCGTAATCTTCGTAACGTCAAAATATGGGTATGGGGGTCTTATTTATAGAAAACAGATGAGTTTGGGCTGAACTGGGACAAAAAAGGGGCTGAAATCCGCGTTTCGGGTGTACGCACGATCGTGCGTGGCCTGGTACGCACGATCGTGCGTACGTGGCAGTAGCTTGACGGTGGTTTTTCGCTCTTACGCACGATCGTGCGTACGTGGCAGTAGCTTGACGGTCGTTTTTCGCTCTTACGCACGATCGTGCGTACTTCTACGCGCGGTCGTGCGTCCGTGTTTTTTCAGAGTTTTTCTAGTCCGAATTTGACAAAACTTATTTTATAAAAGTTGTAGATAATGAAGTCCTCTATCCACCCCAATTTGCCGAATGTGATTTGAATCATCCAATCAAGAAATATGATCAAAACGGTGGAAGGTGTTCTTCTGAAATCGCAGCAGAGATTATCTGACTTCATCGTCTGTTTTCACCTTCTTCCTCTCAGATTCTCGCAAAGGTGTCTTCATATCATATCACAGAAGGTCATCCTGATCGTCGTTTTCAAGCTTCATTCATCTTCTTTTGATCCCGAAGCCAATCCTAGAGCTCTTTTGTCATCAAATCTTCATCGTAAACCTCCCGGTGACCTCCATAGCTCTCAAATCAATCTCAAATGCTTCTCAACGCATCCCGATTTCTCCTCAAGCGCCAGTGCCGAACTCTAAAATCCTGATTTTGACTCCAAATGACACAAAACTCGAACCAACGCCTGTTAAACATAACTTGAACTAAAATTGAGACTTGTAACACCTTAAAGCTAGGAAAATCATCAAAAGTCGATCTCAACACGCATCAAATGCGTGTCTAAATACGGACTTATCACTTCCCACATACCCAATCTGACTGGGAACCGGGGGATACCTCTTAAAAAGAGGATTTGCCTGTTTTTTAATAGTTTGAGGGTTTGATTGATCAAGTTTTTAGTAGGGGGGCTCAATTGATTTTTTTTGAAAAGTTGGGGAGCTTATTTGATAGTTTTCACAAAAAATAACATAAAGGTAAACTATGCACAAGTATAGGAAATAACAACAAAGTACTTCATTCGTCCCAATTTGTTATGTAAAAACGGTTTAGGATGTTTTTACTTAAAATAACCAGACAGACTCAAACAGACCAAACAAGATCACACTTAAATAGAGCATATTAGACTCGAATTTTATAGTTATAAAATACACAGAGACCATAAATTTACCAGACTAGACCATCAAATTCCAGTCCAAGTAAAAACATCGTTAACTTACAAGATTGATTGGATATAAATTAAGTTACTTCTTCTCAATTTGTTTTGCAAAAGTTATATATCTACAAACTATATATACTAAGTGTTTTATTATTGAGGGTATGATGGGAAGATTTAGAAATGAGAAGATATAAATGTTACGTCAAAAAACGAAAAGTTGGAAGATATGAATGTTACGGAGGGAGTAGATAACAAATGCAAATTTATGTAGTCGTTGGTTCATAATAAAAATTTATTATATTTAACTTGGATCCTATAAAAATTCACAATATCTACTACTTCATCTGTTACTTTTTAATTGCAATAGTTAAAATTTCACGTTTGTCAACGCACAAGTTTGACCATTAATATCTTTCATTCCTTATGACTAAAAAAAATTAAAAAATTCATATTTTAAAATTTTAGAATGAGAAGAATTTAACAATATTTTAAAAAAAATAATTTATAATACATTAATTAATAAAATGTTGTCAAAGTAAAATATGTGAATAGTGCAAAAAGTCCAATGCTGCAATTAAAAGAGAACGAAGGTCGTAATATTTTTCATTTTAACTTATATCCAATTGACGTGCTACCGGGGCATGCCCCGGGCTTTACACTAGTTTGTTATGTATAAATGAGTTTATTAGATTGTATTTAAAATGAGACGTGTCACATTTCGTCAAAACAAAAAAGAATGCTCTTAAGTAAATGGATTATGTAAGAACAGATTTCAAGTAAACTTGAAGGCTGAAGCCAATCTAAAAGATTGAGAAGTTGTGTGGAAACTGATAACTATGTTTTTAAGTTTTCATGCATTGAGTGAAAAGCGTATATTAATAGGGCCACTTCTAATAGAATAGGCGCACCACCTAAGTACGTGATTAACCAAGCATATCCTGATTTTTAGTTTTAATGGGCCTTATATCTTTTTAAAATAAAAATAAGTTATAATGATATGGAATTCTCGTAGGATGAGAGCCGCGAATAACAATGTGACATTTGCTCTCTCTCCGTTGCTCTCTCGTGGCCAATTTTCCTTTTTTTTATGGAGTATATAAAAACTATATCAAATTAAATAATTTTTTATGATCTTTCATATGACACCAATATCATATATGTAAAAGTTAAAAAAAAATGGCCAGGTCTATTGAACGGCCGATTATTTACTACGTAGTATTTTTAAATCTAGTCTAGTCTGATATGAGCTAATTTGTTTGAATTTGTCTGGATCGAAATCAGTTTAGTTTAAAATATTCTAAATATTATTCGCAGTGGAGGACCTAAGGGGGGGCTAGGTGGGGCACGTGCCCCCGCTTCGAGCCCGGAATTTCAGTAGTAGTACTTAGGATAAAAACGGGTGTCTCGGCTTCATACCAGTATTTGATAATTAAGATACTAAAATGTTACGGTTATATAAATAAAAAATTAATACAAAACATTTAAATTTTAGCTGAATTAAAATAAAAGATATAGAATTATCAAAAAAAAAAATTAAGAATTGAAAACAAAAAGTAACAAAAAAAGTTAAAATGCAAAAGAGTAGCCAATGTGCGGGCAACTAAAACTACGGAGTGATAAAAGTCTAAAAACTCACTAACATTTGGAAGACTAGAATGATAAAAATCACGTGGACGGTTTACGAATTACGACTTTAGGGGATGTCGCTGCCTTGGCTCTGGCCTCTGGGGACTTCGCTGTCTAGCTGAATTGATGTTGCACCGCCGCACACCTACACCGCTCAATCCTCCCATATTTCCTTGATTTGTAAGTTTATTTTCAATTTATTCTGCATTGACGACACCTGCTTTTTAGTTGGGCGATTATTTTAAAAATTAAAATTGTTGATAATCAAGACAGATCTTCGCAATATGATGGGAGATGACTATCTTACAAATTGCTTGGTGTGCTACATCGAGAGAGATGTTTTTAGAAGCATCGATAATGAAACGATTATGCAACATTTTCAGAATATGAAAATTCGTGGGCTTGATTTACCAAAGTTGCAGCACTGAAATATGTAATATGTAATTAACTATTCTGTATAATTTAATACTACGTACATTTTTTTTTACCATTTTTATTACATTTGGAGTTATTATTATAGACTAACTTTAGTGTCTAGTGTGCCCCCGCTCTCACAAACCTCTGGGTCCGCCACTGATTATTCGCATCCTAAATCTAGTCATGTAACGTATAAGGTCGTAATGCAAAATCAACACGATGTCGATCGAGTTTTAAAAGGCGGGGCCCTCCACCTTTGAAATTAGTCAAACAAATAAAAAATGAATAGAATTAGTTTACTAAGATTAAAAAACTTACTTATGCAAATATATAATCCAATATAGAATTACGCAAAGTTAAAAACAAATCATTTATGTTTTTATAATATATAAAATCAATCATCCAATATAATTGTAACGGGTTCTCTAATAAGATTACGATATTCTATAAAATGTTTAATTCAATGAAGAAGTAATGTATCTCATCCTGTAACACTAGCGTCGTGATAGTAAGACCATGGTGGCAACGTATACGGGCCTAATACATACAGGACCCGTATAAGTGAGTATTGGTATCATCAGATACATATCGCATACAGGCGTGGACTCGAGCCGGGCCGTGTCCGGGTCGGGCCGGCGGTTCAGGATTGGTGGACCCGGGACTGGCCCGGGTTGCCACCGGGTCCGGGCCGGGCCTCCGGTTTGGGTACTTTTTTTCGCTTTCCTAACCCCTCCCCCCCAAACCCCTCCTAACCATCAAGCCCCACCCGGGTGGAACCCCAAAAAATGAAAAGAAAAAAAAAACAATTTAACCCGGGCCCGACCTGGCCGGGTCGGTTCGCCAAATGTGAGACCCGAGCCCGGACCCGCCCCCCCGGGCCTAGGCCCAACCCGGACCCGGACCCGAGAACCGGGCCGGTCCCGGTCCCGCACAGTAGCGGGCTGGGCCGGTCCACGGGCCGGGTGGCCCGACCCGAATCCACCCCTAATCGGATACATAGATTTGACATCAGAAGAGTTAAGTATCAATGCCTCATATATTACCATAACTAATTATTACTAAGAGGGTGAGTAGAGCATGAAAGAGAAATAATTCAAACAAACACCAGACACATTTTAACGAAATACTCCGTATATAGGAACAAATTAGTATTTAGTACTCCATATCATATAATATTAGCATCTCATTAAATTTCACTCCTTGGTGTGGAATACCATACAAACGGCGGGGATGGGAGCAGGGCCGAATCTTGGTTTTTCTAGTGGGAGCTTGAAATCGACGATCTAAATCCCTGATGTGCAATAAAAATTAAAATATAAAATCCGATTCACTATGACACATGTTTTACAAAATTAGAAACTTTTACAAAGTAAAATAGAAACAGCAAGCATAATCTTTATGTGCAAATATATTCATATGTTGTACTAGCTCTGTGCTGAAATAAACTACATTCCATCCTATTTCATCTATGTAAAAATAAACTTTATTTTTATAATTTTATATTATGATAAAAGATTGTATTTCACACATTTATCTCTCAAATTCATAATTTGGAATCACACAATTCTCACATTCTTAATACGTATGTAAATATAAAAAGAGAAATCTATTTATTTATCGGAAGCAAAGAAACAAACAAATAAATAGGTTAAAGCTACAAGAAGATGAAATATAGTGTGAAAAATATTTCATGGACCCTTTAGATTGCTGATCTCACAATAATATAGTCTAATTTGAAAGGTTTGCTGCAATAATATAGACAAAGATGGCAACAAAAATCAAATTATTTACATAGATCTTAAAACAAAGTTTTCTTACGCAAGGATGAATTTAGGTGAGGGGGCGACCTCCCGGCCTCCTTGAAATTTCAAAATTTTCTATTATATATTTAATATCTTCATAAATTTGTTATACTTTAAATAGATATGTACATGTTCGCTCTCCTTAACTTTTGATTTTCAAAATTAACAATCATGCTAAATAATATAATACTTATAAGAGGTATAAAAGTATAAAAATTTAAAATAGTTTATCTTGATGGACTGTATTGAGTAAATTTAGTTTTCTTCTTCCTGTACAACAATGATGTTATTAATTTCTTTACTTTAATTTGAAAAATAAATAATAGAAAACTCATTGTTTTAAGATGACTTAGGGTACTTATTCAAGAAAAAAGTCCCGTTTTACAATTTTTAATTTTATCTTTAATAGATAAAAAGTGACTGTAAAAGATCAAGTAATATTAAAATGCGATACACACTATTTAAACAATTATCAGATATTATGAAGTGAATCCGGGATATAAATTTCTATATAACATTAAAATTACACAATTCATTGTGTTATGGCGACTTTAAACTATTGCATTTTATGAAGAAAAAAATAGTTTTACTTTAAATGGATTTAAAAGTCTACATGATATTTAAAAGAATTTCTTGCATTTAATATTAAACTTTAAACTATCTTAGCATTAATACAAACATAATACATGCAAACTCTATGAACTTATAACCACATAATATTACTCGAAAAATCGATAACTTTATATATATATACTATTATAATATTAAAAAGACTCCATGTGACATACAAACACTCATGATAAACAAAAAGTGTAATTCAATAATTAGGTTCTTTATTCTAATAAAATTCATGCAATGATACCAGGCAAATTTTATTTAAAAATATAGGTGGATATGTACCTGTTAGACTCTTCATATTCAAATGAATTGATAATAATGTTCTAACCACTTTGTTATAACCAAATCATTTTTTATTTGGTGTTACTTAGGCTTTAATATACCAATAGTTTTTTTTATGCACTTCAATTACAAAACCTAAGTTATTTTTGGCATTGTGTAAAATTAGAATTGAGTATATTTAAATGTTATGTATATGTTATTGAAAATGTTTTTTTGAATAATAAAAAATAAGTAGGATAAAAAGTTTTGCCCCTTAAGCATGAATATAGTATCCATCCCTGTTTTGATGAAGGTGCGAATCATTCATCGATTATACATTTCCTAAGACTGTGTTTGTGTTTGCTTGTGCTTATTAAAAGTGATTTATTTAAGAGATTATTGAAAAAGTAATTTATAGTAAAAGTAGGTAGTGTTTGAGAATAGAAATAATTTTAACTCAAAAATAATAATTGAAGTGTTTGACAAAAAAGTGATTAAGATATACTTCGTAATATTTTTGGTGTTAAAGCCCGGGATTCCATTCTAAAAGGTCAACCTTATAAGAGGAGTAGCTCAAAGTCTTATATAATATTTTATTGTTTTATAGTTTTCCGGTGTGGGACAAAATATCAGGATGGACTTGGGGGGGGGGGCACCGCCCCCCTTGGACTTTCCAAATTTTCTATTATATATGCAATATTTTCGTAAAATTTTCATACTTTAATTATATTCGCCCAATCGCCCCCTTAACTTTTAGGTTTCAAAATTACTATATAGCCTTACATAATTAATGTAATACTTAATAGGAGATTTTGAAGAAGGAACATCTAAAATAATTTGTATAACTTAAATAAATAAACAATAGAACAACTCATTGTTTAAGATTTAGGATACTTATTGTATAAATTTGTTTAGTTTTGTAATGTTTAATTATCTTTATTACATAACTAGTACTTAATTTTGTAAAATATATATCCCAACGATATTAAATACGAGACACTCTAGATACACAATTTTTAGATCATGTGAAGTGAATTCAAAATATAAATGTTTATTGATATTAAATTACACAATTCATTTACTTCTTACGTTCCAAAACAACTTTATTGCATAAATAATAAACTTTAACTTCTTTTAGCATTAATACAAATATAATATGCACTATGTATACGAATTAGCATTATAATATTATTCTAAAAATAATAATCTCATACATACTATTGTAATATTAAAAAAAAATCTCGTGACTCATGAACACCCTCTTTGGTAGACAAAACTTGTACTCGTAATTAAAAACCAATTCTTTATTTCTATAAAGATTCATGTAGTTAAACATTGTAGAAGTTATTTTAATAGTATTAGTGAATGTGTACCTTATAAACTCTTTATCTTCAAATAAAATTGTATATATCCTTTTTATTTTCAAATTATTTTCTTTTGATTTGCCATTTCTTACGCTTTATAATGTATCGATACTTTTTCTGAAGCACTTCAATTATAAAATTAAAGTTATTTTGTCATTCCCTAAACTTGGAATGTAATATATAAATTTAAATGTTGATATGTATGTATTAATGATTTGTTTCTGGAAAAAATAGCCGCAGAACTTTACACTAGTGAAAATTTTCACCCGCTACACTAGCAAAAAAAATCGCCCTCTACACTAGTGAAAAAGAAAATTATCCCTTACACTAATGAAAAATTCTGTCCCCCTTGACTCGAAATCCGGGATCCGTTTCTGGGACAAATACTTTAACACGCCCTCTCAGCCCAAATCGGACTAGACGATAATATTAGGGTGTGTATAAATGGACCAAACAAACTCTTAACAAGCAACCATTAATCATGGGTGCTAAACATTAAATTCATTTAACATGGCCACATTGTTGTAACTTTTACCTTTGAAAACAGGCTACTTAGCCATCGGGCATGGCCACATTGTTGTAGCTTTTACCTTTGAAAACAGGCTACTTAGCCATCGGAAAACTTTTGGTCTACTGTCACCATAAAGGACCAAATAAAGGTAGAAGACAATTTTTAATGGAACCGGTTGTATGCTTGTTAATGAATACAAGGCGAGGATCTTTAGCCTAATTGTTGAGGCTTCTTTTTGTTGGTGCCTTTTTTTAATTACCATATTTAAGTGAGTTGCATCCAGAACATCAAAAGAAATATATAGCATTAGAATGTGATGTTTAATAAAATTAGTTAATGAGTAAATCTATAATAAAGAAAATTAGCCTAATCATTTCAATGTTTAAGCTACTTGTTTTCTATTATCAAATGCTCAAGTTAAAAGCATAAATAGCAGATTCAGTTGAAGCAAGAGAAATGGCATTGAGTCCTTTTTTAGAAACTCCGTTTTAATTTTAACTTTCATATTAATGTATATTTGAAGTTTCTTATTTCGTAAACTATGAACGAACAAAATCAGTAATAAAGCCAACAACAAATGGTAAAGTAGAGCTTACCGGTAAAGCGAGATGCAAAATTATTGGCGATAGTGGAGAAACTGGTTGACCTGCATGATTCAGTAATAAAGCCGACAACAATGTAAATTTTTTTTATATGTACTTATTCTTGCACGCTGGCTTGAAAAAATCTACTTCTCTCAAGCATGCACATATAATTGGTTTAATGGTAGAATCAATTCGACCAAGAAAAATAACTTATACGCCACTGTTTTTAGTTAAGGTTAGCATATATTTATATGTTTCATTTATTGATATGAAGTCAAATAAATACATCATCAGTTTTGATAGAAAATCTTATTCAAAATTTTGATACACTTGATACCCAAAAAATGATCATTGGACAGATTATGTTTCAGTGACATATATTGAATCTGGTTACACCTGCATGAGAAGTTTTGTGCGGATACGAAAAAATCATGAGATAAATTCAAAGGGAATTACACCGGATTAGAGATTTTCGAATGCAGCAATATAAAATATTTAAAATATTCGTGTTGAAGAGTGAACAGGGATCATCCATGATCCATCTTCCATTTTACCTTTTTGTCTCATACCAAATTTGATAAACTTTGTGTGACTCTAAATCATTCTTATTATATTCTTACTTTATCAATTCAATATCAACCACATAAACCACTTTTTAGTGGGACGGATGGAGTATATAGGGGGTGTTTGGAACTGATTCTACTTCTGCTTCTTTTTTAAAGCAGAAGCAGAATCAGAATCAGTTTTCAGAAGCTGCTACCTCCAGCTACTAAAAAACTGATTCTGGGAGTAAATTAGAGCACCAGAAGTGCTTCTGCAATTTCACCCAAATACTCTAGCTTTTGCTCCTGCTCCTGCTCCTGCTCCCTGAAGAAGCAGAATCAGTTTTGAGAATTAGATCCAAACACCCATACTAACCAGTCATTTCCACCTTTTGTGGGCAACTATGCATATTACAATGTTTTGTTACAAAGCCAAACATGGAAAAAGAGAAAGCGGCGCCGGCCGCCCCCCAAATTGACAGGACAATTTAGTTAATTGGTTGTAATTTGTAGATAAATGGAGTTCCATTCAGTTCCATTTTGAATCCACAAATTTCACTATCTCATTCGCACTCGTTAGCAATTTCGTTTTCTTTGAGTGAAGAATATACCACTTTTATTCAGTTTCAGCCATACACCTTATCAAACAAAAAAATATCAAGAAATTCAAATAAAAAAATTAAAATCTAAAAGCAGATACAAAATTTATAGTTGAGTGTTGTTGCTAATTCTATAGTGCTTTTCTAAAATTAAAATCTAATAGCAGATACAAAATCTAACAAAATCGATCTAAAATCAACAGTCAACTAGTGCTTTTCTAGTTTCTGGCACGATGAGAATAGTGCTATGTGGCAATTCTAAAATTTATTATTGGTACATATATTATAATTACACTGTACTTACTGGTAAAATTATAACAAAGTCAAATAGAAAAAGGCGTGGTGTGGACGTTTGATTGCCCTTGAGCGAAGATTCGGAAATTGGGAGGCAGCATACAATGATATGCCCAATTTGTTGCACTCAATAAGAAATTCAAATCCGGGATCAGTGGTAGATTTCCAGGCTAATCTAACTGATAACGTTGGTACGTATGAATTTTGACGTGCGTTTTGGGATTTCAAAGCTTCCATTGATGGGTTCCAACACTGTCTGCCCTTAGTCAGTGGCGGACCGAACATGGGGCCAAATGGGGGCTGCAGTCCCCCCAAAATTTTATTTTTCTAGGTATATTTACCCCGAAATGTTAATATATATGTATTTGTATGTATATTTTTACCCTGCCGCCCCTCCTAGCCGGAATTCTTGTGTCCGCCGCTGCCCGTAGTATCCGTTGACGGTACTCATTTGTATGGAAAGTTGAAGGGTCATCTCTTGGTTGCAGTTGCCATGAATGCTAGCCGTGAGATTTTTCATCTCGCCAACGCAGTCGTATAAAGTGAGAACACAGATAGTTGGTCCTGGTTTTTGGAACACGTTATGAGTTCTGTTGTCGGACAAAATCGGCATGTGTGCATAATATCATATCGACATCCTGACATCCTAAGTGCCTATCGATCGGTACCTCAATTGAAAACCTCCCAAGTGTCAAAGCGGATCTGCCTCTGACACATTAGGAGCAATTTCATGACAACATTCAGGAGCACTGAACTGAAAAGCTCTGTTGGCAGGCCGGGAGTACACCCATGGTAAGTGAATTTTTCCAAACTATGGCTCAAATCCGTGCTAAGAATGAGAATGTGTTCACGTATTTGAACGATATTCCACATGAAAAATGGGCATTGTGCTTCGATGATGAATGATGTTATGGCATCCTCACGACAAATCTTTCTGAGAGCTTCAATAATGTCCTAAAGGGATGCCGGACACTTCCAATCACCGCGCTAGTTAAGGCAACTTATAACAAAGTTGTCCACCTATTTGCCGACCTACATAGGGCTGGTCAAATGTGGCGGCAAACTGGATTCCTTTATCCGCAAAATATATGGAAAGATATTCTTGAACGTTCGCAGAAAAGACATTGGTGCACTGTTGTCCCGCACAACCGGACTACGGGAATATACTCTGTTTCCATCCGTGATTATCCACCGGTAAATCTCTCACGCTTCGAATGTGGTTGCGGTTTTTGGAAGAAAAATGGATTTCCATGTGTGCACGCCTATGCGACTTTTCATTTCTTAGAAATGATTGTAGATCATCTCATCCCGAACGTGTATCAATTAGGTGCGTACATCCGTACGTATGCTACAAATATTATGCCTTTGCATGACGTTAGTGCAATGTCGAATAGTGGATATTTATTGACACCGCCTCAAAGTGCTAGGCGCAGTCAAACCGGTAGGCCTCAAAGGACCAGATTTACAAATGAAATGGATATGCGTCCAAGAAGGAGAGCACAATAGTAAAATTTTATGTGTATTTTGTAACTCTATTCAATGAACAAAAATTTGTATTTGTTTGTCATGTTGTTTTCCAAGAAGAAATGAGCAATGAAATATTCATATTATTTATTTTTGCGGGAACATCCAAATAACTTCATAATACAATATCATTAAATATGTATATCCACTAATATAATCTATAACCTAACAATTGATTATTTTTGTAGATCAATCAAACTCAAAACACTTCATCATAAAAATATATCTCGAATATAAAAGTGATTGCAACTATAAATTAAATCGATCAACTTTTACTTTTTGGAAAAATTCCTATCGTTTTCGTATGCCAAAAAATAATACTTCATATACTCTATTATTTATCCCACTAACAAGTTTATATTGAATTATTTGTACATTAGCATGTTTTAAATAAATTGAGTACATATCAATACAAAATAATACTCTTATTCCATATGGAGTACTACCGACTACGTATTAATATATTATATACTCCCTCCGTCCCTGAAAATACTTCCAACTTTCCCTTTTCGTCCGTCCCCAAAAGAATTTCACTTTCCCTTTTTGACAAAGAATTTATGGTTGACACTATTTCTCTCTCCTCTGCACAACTCTCCACCACATAATTCCTACTTTCTTAATCCGCGTGCCACTTTATTTTGGAAGAAAATTCAGGAATGGAGGTAGTATCATTATATCCCACCTAGCTACATAAGTATGTACATAGCATGCTTTAATTTTAAAAAAAAAATGTAAACTAACTTTTGGATTTTTGCCATCCAAATTATGGATTCTAGGGTCAAACCTACAATTTTTGGATTACACAAACACATTTTCGTATTTTGGGAAAACCTAATTATTTTCCCGCACTTTGGCAAGCCATGCAAGCCTTTCCCGTAAAAAAGGAAACAGGGCCGTAGATGGGGCTGTGCAAGCTGGGCCTTTGCACAGGGCCTCCAAAAGTAGAAGGCCCACTTTTAAATAATACTATGTATATGTAGTATATATATATAAAGTAATTGTTAATTTATAAATAAAAACAGAGTATATTAATAGAAGCCCATTAGAATTATAGAAACACTGCTAGACGGCGGCCCAACTCGAAAAAAAAAATCTGCGTAGACGCACCATTCCCCAAATAAATGAGAACAAAAAAGCTGAAAACCCTTCCCATTCCCAAAACAGCTCAGCATAACATTTGCACCGTTCCAACACTCCTCTATCTCCTATTTTCACTATTTTCACTGTTTCTCACATGCTCTCAATGAAAATTAGGGTTTGAAGTTCTCTGGGATTCTTTTCTAAACATTAAAAAAAGTTGATTGCTTGATTTTGTCATTTTAATTCGTTTCTTTCTTATTTTATGAACTACTACCTCCGTCCCAAATTGATTTGCAAATTTAACTTTTCTTGGTCAAACAGTTTCGTTTTGTTCACCTAATTAGAATGTAAATTTTTAATTATATTCTAATTTGAAATTTACAACTTTGAAGAGATTTTAATATAGTTTATGAATATGTAAATTTTAATTATAAAAAGTTGAATTAATTATCCAAAAAGAGGCTTGACTTTTACTATCGATTGACCAAAAAATGTTGACTTTGCAAAAACAAATTGGGACGAAGGGAGTATAAACAAAAAATAGGGGCCACATTACTAGTTCGCTACATCGGTACAGGATCTTCTGATTCATTTGTCACAGTCTTCCAAATAAATTTCCAAATATCAAGTTGTTTCCCTCTTTTTTAAACTTTAATTTAGGTTATTTCGATTTCTTGAATCTTGATATTATGGCTCATGGAATGAAAAAGTATGAATCTGGTCATGAAAAACTGAAGAAAAAAAGAAAAGTTAAAGCATTAAATCTGCTTCAAAGAATTAATGGATTGGCGTTGATAACCGTAAAGAAAGAAGTCTTGGAGAAAGTGGATTGCCAAGAACTAATTGATGAATTTGCTTCAAAAAATGCTGGGAGAATGGCTCTTTTTAATTAAATGATGTGCTTAAATTTGAACACTTTACTTTATTTGGATGCTTTATTTTATTCAATATACGGGATGATTTTGGTATGCTTGTTGTAGGCTTGTAGCAAGTCTGGTTTGAACAATCCATATGTACCCTAGA